GAGCCATGCCTCCATGCTTCAAACAGAAGAATCTCTTTGAAAGGACGATGTTTAAGTAGTTCAGTGAACCTCTCCTGAATGTTTTGCTCAAAAAGATGCCGCTCAACTGTCATAATATTGAGAGCATAAATGTATTCTACACAAATAATCTCTAAAGAGGAAATTGGCCAAAGGTTTGGGAAGGTCATCTTGCTTTGGGAAGGTCATCCAGGCAAACAACTGGCACAGGGTAGAGCAAGCACCTTGGTGTTCTGGAGGAGTCCAAAGGAGGTGGGATCCTATTTGTATTGCAAACACAATAGAAAAATAGATCTCACTCTTCTCAGAGCTCTGCCTAAGGCCAGGAAGTAGCAGGTGTGTACTGTAAGCTATTAGGTACTGGCATTACTCTCTATTCTAGTCCTCAAGATGCTGCATTCACTGAGTAGTTTATTGAGAAACAGCAGGGCAAACGACAAACTTCAAATGCTTATAATAGCCATACATGAAGTGTTCTTGGGTATCAAGAGAGAGACAAACAAGACAGAAAACAGCAAGAAAGCCACATTAAAAGGCCTTGCCAGAATCAAGCAATTACAAAACTCCACTGAAGATATTTATATATATTTATATATGTATTTATTTTATATATATATATTATTGTTTATATATATATATATTTTTATATATATAAAACAAACCACAAACAACCGCCCTTGATTAATACAAACAGTAATACCTATGTTTAACTTGAGTGACAATTACCAGAAGCGAAGTAAACTTTTCTGGTACACTTTCTTCAGCTGTATTATTCATAAGGTCAAACATTTGCAAAAGGGATATTTTGAAACACTGGATTACACCAGAAACATTAACCTTATCTAAATTAGTTCTGCCCACACTCTCAACCAGTAAATTTCCCCACATGTTTGTATATTGATTTTTTCCCATCTTTTATTTATTTCAGATTCCTCAGGGGTGAACAGAAGTCTATTAAGTTGCTAACAGGAAGTTTGGATTCTGAAAGGGTTTGTTTTTTTTTTCTTTTTGCTGTCAAATGTCTCTCTGGCTGGATCCCTTTACAAATGTAAATTAAGAGGTTTAATAAAATGTAGTTATCCAGCATAGAATTCTAATTTGACTTAGACAACACATTTCCTCATTCAGAACACAATATGCTGTCTTTCTATTCTAACACCCTGCTGTTGTGGATCAGGACCCATTAGCCCTCAGCTCTATTCTGGTAAGCAGAAAAAGTATTCTGTTTTTCTACTCCTTCCATTTTGCTTCTTTTTTTCCCAAACAAATGGTGCATTGCAACATACACTTATCAGCCCCATGGACCTCAGCAGGTAAGGATGAAAGCAAGAACCAGCTGCTGTAACTGGAGAGGTTTACAAACAGGAAGTTAAATAGCCTCTCAATCCTTCATTTCCCCAGTTGCCTGTCTGGATTAAAATGTCCTTTGGAGAGACTGACAGTCCTGTAGCTCTCACTGGCCAGGGCAGACAACCCTTAATGCTGTTTGAAACAGTACTGCTTCTCACGTTTCTCAGGTGATAACAAGTGATTTAACCCTGAGCATTTGACCTCCCACAGAAGTATGAGTCATCAGAGAGATCAGCAGCCTTATGTAACAGAATGAGTAGCTAGACAGTACTCAGCTGGTCACTTATTAACTAATTTACAGCACTTTGAGATGAAGTTTAATTAACATTTATCTCTGGTGAAGCTGTCACTGTACAAAAGTTTTCAGTGCAAGAAAAGCAACAGTATTTACTCCTCTGTTGAGACCCAGCTCACCTGAACCAGCTTTGGAGATGCTGGTAGATCCCACCTGAGATGCTGGTAGAACCCACCTGAGGGTAAGGCGGGCAATTCTGAGTGAGGGAGCAATGCATGCTGGGCAAACCTCTGGTTAGAAGCAAGATGAGTGCAAAGAGAGCTATGCCTTAACATGGCTGTAACTAATCCTTCTGGCTCCTAAGACAATGCAAAAACTCTTCTATCCTGTTATGGTCCTATTTCTGAGGACAAGAATTTACACAGTTTCTAATCCTCGCATGGGCCTATGTCCATAGCGGAGACAAAGAATCTTTAGCAGAGATGTTTATGAAAAATCAGCAATTTCAGCAATTCCTAAAATAAATGAATACCTAAATAAACAAATGACAAAACTTACCTGGGGATAGACTGCATTCTGAGATAGCAAAACATGCTGGAGATACTGTTAAAAAAACACTGTCCCACCCTAGATCTCACATACTGGCTGGCCTATTGTACAAGTGCTGCTTCTGCCTGACCTGCTCAATTCCAATGGCTCGTCCAAAATAAAGATCCTGAGGATTCCTTTCCATCACAAGTGGGAAACAGAGATGGAATACATTCAGATAAATATATTGGCATAGAGGCCTGTATTCAATGTAATCCACTGCCCTCCTGCTTAGGTTTTAAGACAATTTGTATTATTTTTATTTCTCGTACTCAAACATTTTAAATGAATGCATTTGTATTGTTTAACAAATGGCTGCTACTGCATTAGCTATGTGTATACCGAAGGAGACCTAGTTCCCTTCTACCTTGTATGCAAAAATTAAAAGAAACTGGGATAACTTTCTACCCTGCAGGTATCTTGCCAGAAGCAGAAGTTTCCTGAAATTGTATATCTCTGGTTGCCAGTCTCTGGCTAACAAGCTCTTTAATTCATTGACCTGAAAGGCTCATTGGTTGTCACACAGTGCTGAAGTGCTCCTTCATGGTTCTGTCTAGGCAGAGATTTCGTTCTAGTCAGGACAGAATCAAGGGTCAAGAAACTGACGTCAAAGCATTTAATACAATGAAAGATAAGGTCAGAGCAGTCCTATTTTACACCTGTACTGAATACCACTATTGGCTACAACAGAAATGCAGTTCTTCAAGAACTTGCTGAGCTGAGTACTCTGTTGTACTAGGCAATTGTATCATGCACACGTTTTAGGCTGACTGAACTACCTTGCAGCAAACTTGCTGTTTTTGGGTTTGCTCCCATGGCACCAGCAGAACTACTGCTACATCCTTCTGTGCTGAGGGTTGAGACTGTGCTTTGAGCTAACAGCTTTCACTTCAAATCAGGGCAGGTTACAGATGGACACCCAGCCTCCTGAGATGCCACAGAAAACTAGGCAAAGGTTTGAGCTTCTGCTCCAGTTTGTTGTGACGCAGGACTATGCTACAGCAGAGTTCCCTGGGCAAGCCTGCCTTCAAACTGCTGAACTGTCCCATGTGTACTCCTGCCCTGGTCATGTCTCCACCTCACCAGCTCTCTCAGCTTTGTTCTTGGGTTCAGCAACAAATACTCCCTTGCCAAAAACTGCCACCACTTTAATTTGGGCTGAGCATAACATCTGCAGCCCCCTCATCTTTTTCACTGACAAGCTTAGGGCTATTGTGCTATGGTGAAGTCCAACTCAGTATGACAAAGTAATTACTGCTTTATCCCCACTCTCTCCGATGCAGCCTAATTTCCTGGTCAGGCTCTTCTGCATTACTGTAACTCTTCACTCCTGATTTCTATTTCAGTGATTTCGTAACTCTTTTGAACACACAGCCCTTTGCCTTGAAGGCTTTTTCTGTTGTTCCTAAAATAAATTCCAGATGGCTTTTATACCTGTAACTTGAGGACACGGCTAGTATTTAGCTGACATTTTTTCAAAGCCTTTTTCAATTCAAGTACCTTAAAACAATGAGTTATTCCTCATGTCTTTTAATCAATCTTCTGTTCCCAAACACTGACAGCCTAGAGCCCCAGCTACCTAGTCCTGTTATAACAGACATATCCCGAAAAGTGTTCAAAACGTCCTTCTTTCTCTTGTTAATTTGTTGTTCTTACCCTGTGGCTAAAGGATGCACTCAGCTAAGTCTGGCACACCACACAGACAGAGATTCTCCCGCAACAAGTATTTATCCACTCGTGTTCTTGTAAGTTTCCCCACCATTCTAACTCATCTGCCATCCCTGCTGCCTGCTTGATATCACCTCAATCCTCTCTCTCTCCAGTCAGCTCTTGCAGTGGGCCCTGAAATATTTTCCTCTTGCCCTCAAAAATTTTGGTCCTGTCTCACAGCCGCCAGCTCTGTGCTTCTACTCTCCCACAGAGGCTTTCCCTATTATTCAAGAGTTCAGCAGTGCTGTGTCACTATTTTAAATGCTCTTTCTAATGCAGTAGACTTTTAAATTAAAATAAATTAGGTTTACTTATTTATATAAAACAGCAATATTTGCAATAATACTTAAAATATATGTTGCATTATTTCTGTTACTTGCTTTGAACATAACAGCCTCTACTAGGGTTGATGTTAATTACGCCTGCACTGCATGACACTTGCACCCACCTTAAAGTGGTAAAAGAATTTAAGGAGACTGGATTCGCTTTCCAACTTACCTTCTAGGTTTCAAGAACATTTAATAAGTTCACCAAAAAGACAGAAACTACTGTGTGAAACTTTTCTCTCTCACTCACTCCTCGAAAGAAATGACAACTTCTATTCCATCTTATTATTTCTTCCATCACAAAATACATGCAAGTATAGTTTATTTCTGCTTTGTCTCAGAAACAGAAGCTGCTGCATGTCTATGCTAAGCATGAGTAATGAATGAAATGGACTCACAGACCAGGAGGCATGCAGCCTGTGTAACACAACTACGGAGACCGATGACCAGCAGTTCAAAATCACAATCAAATTAATTGTGCATTAAAATGATGACCAATTTCTGGAAAATTGGTGTCTCCATGGACTGTGTAAAGTTATAAAACATGGTCTCAAATATTCTGCTGTGCTAGGAGCAGAAACTGCTAAGGAAATTCCCTGCTTTTCAATATTATTGGTGAGACTTTTATGTTCACATGAAATTTGAAGAAAGAAAAGCCGAATGGCAAATATTTGTTCTAAGGAGCAGGCAGAGTCAACAGCTGAAAAGGTTTGTCTGCATCTACTACAGCTATGTTTTGGTAGAAGCAGTGGACAAAAAACTGTAAACTTTACCTTTTGCTGATTTTGAAATTTCTGGATGCACACGCTTGTTGTTCTGGCAACTTCCTTCCTGTGAGGGCCACAGGCAGAACAAACAGAAGAAAGATACAAAAGAAGTCAGGTTTCCCAAATCAGAGAAAATGTGCTTCTTTATAAATTCTCCCACTTTTCCACTTCTGTTTCGTTTTTAGCAAATGCAGGTGTGTGACCTGATGATAGCTCTCCTTCTTCGTGTGACTGGAAATTGCTGGCCAATACAATCACAATTACAGTTGAAATAGGACCTCTCTTTCATGAGTACACAGTGTTCTACCTACTGAATCAAGCTCAACCATTTATTTTCCCACAATTTCAAATTCCAAATGAACAGATCAGTAGAAGAGCAAGCAGCTGCCTTTTGGAATAAGATCTTTACAAAACATTCCGAAAGAGACAGATACATGATTTTGTCAGCATCTGGACCTGATTATAAATTTTTCTTCTACGTTACTTTTCAAGGATAAAATGAGTTTTGATTGAATTTGATGTGGAAGCATGCAGAAATACAGTGGTTCAATTCTTTGGCAAAAATTTAGCAGGGTTTCCTATTTATGCAAAAAATAATATTGTCTTCAGGGATTAAACTAAAACTTCTAGTCTAACAGCTGAAAAACCTACAAAAACTCATGAGAGATTTAATCTTCATTTTGTATAATGCAAGCAAGTGGACAGAAATTCATCATGCTAGATTCACTTACATAGGAGAGAACTTGTTTTGGTCCTAAGACGATATCCCAAATTACATTTCAGTATAAAAAGGAATGAATTTTGTATGTCAACTGAATATTTTGGTAAAGGCAATGGAAATATTACATTACTAAGTGTTTATATTCCATGAAAAACAGCAGCAAAACATTGCTGATTATCAGTATTTACAGTGCCATCGTTTTACTCTATCAGCACTTCCTAGAATTTCAAACAAGTATACAAGCAATTGTCTTTTTGTCCTTGTGTCAGATGTAGCCGGGATTTCCCTCATCCTTTCCCACCTCTTGTTTTAATGCATAATGAAGCTTCTCAATCAAGACACTTGTAGTGCAGCTCTAACAGTAAGCACAGTCCATACTGAAGGAAGGCTTCTGTGTCAGAGCTGTTTCAGCCACAGTGCAGCATTTTCCTCCTCAAAGAACTCATATCCATAATTGCAAATTGGATAGACAGACTCTATATCATGTCTGTGGCAAAACCTATAAATACTTGACAAGGAGACTTCAGTACAACACAAACTAATTCCAGTCTGCACTAGCTGCAGTAACACCAAGTGTTTGGTAGAGGAAATACTCTGGGTCTTACGCTTCCCCAGGTAAGAAAGACCTGTTATAATTTCCTCTGCATTCTACATAGGAAGCAGGAATGTTTAGTTTATAACACAGAATGCTTGACATGTGATAATAAGGAAGAAGGAACAGCTTCTGCTAGGTGTAATGCTGGGTTAGCACAGGAGCCAGCCCCAGCCTGCTTTCAGGAGTAGTGACCCCAGAATAAATGTAAGTGAGCTCTGTGCCTCAGAGGAGATACCACTCCATTCGGGATCTGTGGGCTATGCATTTCACAAACCACCTTGTTTTGTGGCCAGTTACCCTAGGCTTTCTGTTAGTGCTGCTTTATTATATAAGTACCGAGGAAGGAAAATATTTTAGAACTGAACTATGCCCATTCCTTTCAGCAAACATTTTCATTTAGAAAGAAATCCTATGCCTTTCTACAGGGTCTAGCTGTAAAACCAAAATATTTATTGCATATAGCTACTTAGTAGGAGGGATCAATAAAATATACTTTTATAGCCATTGCGTTGATGCAGTAGGGATTGCTGAATTTGCCTCTGTCTCTGCAAGCCTGCACATTTAATTTGGAAAACTCCAGCTTGCTGTAAACAGCAATGCTACAAGATAGGGATTTAAGTGAATGCAGAAAATACAATGAACATAAGCCAACATACAGAAAAGTACATTCTGAATGCTGCATTTACTGAAAGAAGCACAATACTACTCTGGCTTATTTCTTTTAAATGCTCTTTTTAGGTAAGGCATGCCATTTTTCAAATTGTTTCGTGTCTTTGTTGTACACATCACTGGTAACTATTCAAAATCATTCCACATAGCAAAACAACAAAAAAATTCCATTGTCCAAGCCAAATTTAATTTAATGTATTCAATTGTGCTATTGCAAACTCATTCATCAGTTTAGCATCACAGTCTTCAAACCAGAAGCAAAATGGGTAGCAGTATCAGGGATATGAAAGAACACAAAAACTGGTATTTCCTTACTGAAGACAATACTACAGGATTGTCCCTCAATTGGGAGATACAAAAACTAAGTGGAAAAACTGGAAAAATCCTGAATTTCTGGCTGCTGTGGCTATGTTTTGAGGGAGTTTCCTTTTCCTCATTTTTCCTAAAAGCAGAAAACAGATGAACCATAGAAACAAAATCAGCTGTGACAGCAGAGAAACATGTTCACTTGGACCTCTTTGCTTAACACCACAAAGAGCCCTACATCCCTTCAGGTCTGCTTCTTCCTCCCACAAAGCTACACGAGCAACATGGTCCAATGGAGGTCAAGGGGAGACACAGCGATGTCGATAGAAACCAGCACTTTGCTCTAAATGGAACAATGATTCAAGAAAATCACCTTCGCAATGGAAGCCCTTAGATGGCTTCATCTGTAGTTGTCACCGTGTATGCCAATATGGCTTTATTTTAAGAGGAGAAAAGTGAGCTCTTGAAAGAATTCACACATTTCAGTAGAAGATGAAAGTGTTGGAGCCAGGGCACTGTAAGGTTTAGTTGCATAATACAGCATCAGCAGTGACAAAACTCAATGAAACCCCCCTTAGTATCTCAACTTTTACATAACTGACTGTGCTAACAGAGAATGCTGAGAGAAAAAAAAAAAAAAAAAAAAAAAAAAAAAAGAAGATGGAAGGTGTAGAATATATAAGGCTAAAACATTTCTATTCACTAACATGATGGAACTGCTTCCAGAAGATGCCAGCAGCTGTTGAAGCATAGAATCATAGAATCAAAGAATCACTCAGGCTGGAAAGGACCTTAAAGATCATCAACCATGACCTAACCATACCACCCTAACTCTAACAACCCTCCACGAAGGCACTCTATTTGACATTCCTAATGCAGAGACAGTGATGCTCTTGGCAGATGTTTCTCTGTCACACCTTACATGCCCCAAAGCAGATACATTGCCCAATTAAACAAAAAGGCTCTGAGGGCAGCTCTCGGGTCACATCTGGCTGGCTAATGGCAGCTATGTACTTACAAAGGTAGGAACACTGCGTGGTTATGTAAACAGCATAAATCTCCTCTGAAACGTTAAGATGGGAAATTTGTTAAATTAATTATCGTTTGGTTGCCTCTCTCATCCCCTGGAAAAGAAATGAACTCATTTATCAAGCAAAAATTAGTTCTAGCGTTAGGTTTGGGTTTTTTGTTTTTGTCTGTTTCTTTGAGTTTTATGATTTAGCCTAATAAAAAGAAACAAGAGACTGGATTTGTGAATTATCTACTTCAGCTGCCTACATAGGCAACAAAGAACGGAAAAAAAAGACAAATGTAAGAGGCTAAAACTGGGACAGAGAGGGCAGCCAGGTTAAAAATGAGTTTGGTCATTACATCTCCTAAAAAGTATGGAAAAGAAACTATTATTTGGCTTATTAAACTAAGAGTGAAGCAAGCAGCAGAATTAAAATTGCAGGTCATATTCCAGTTCTCACAAGCAGGGTTGTCCAACTGTTACAAAAGCCAAACTCGGATTTCTGCTGTGTGTCAGCACAGGGCTCCAGAGAAGGGAGCGGGGCAAGCCAAGGGTGTATCAAGTGCCACAGGTTCTCTGCGTACTGAATTACAGATGTGGTACAACAGTCAGAAGCTTTATTACAAAATATGAAGTCGCAGCAGTGCTGGCTGCCTACACTAATATAACCACTTCACCTCTGACAGCAAAAAGAGGAGAAATAATTCAGAGCATCCATCCCTCCTCCTCTCTGGGGTTTGTATGAAAAATCTAGGACAGGAGGAGGGGAAGAAATTTATAATTTTTCCATGTCCCATTCTCCTATCAGAAGCTGCAGCCTTGCTAAACTTGCTTTTGTTTCTATCTCACTTAGAAAAGGAACAGGATGCTTTCCTCTACCTAATTTTTCTGATTTCTCACGGACCCCTTCTTCAGTGTCAAGTGGCTGTAAGAAGGGTAACACCTTCGGATGCTCTGAAGATTTAGGCTGAGGAACAGTGCAAAACATCACTCCATCAGCAGCTAAAGGTTCGGGAGCTTGGCCACAGCAGCCTCAAGACCTGCTTTAACTGACAGATGTACTCAGTCACAGAAGGGCAGTTAGCTGATACCAGCACGCAGTTGTCTTTTTCCTAGTAAATGGCTCTTCAAGCAGAATTGGAAGACAGAAGATGAACTTGTCAGTATGTGTTAGCTGATGATGACAGTCACTTCATTTACCGCGTCTAACATGTTAGGAACTCAAAGGTGAAACATAAACCCAGTAGTCAAGGTTAGGTCTGAGAACCCAAATCATCACACACAAAACCTCAAATAGAACCTGCACACCTTCCCAGCTCAAAAGGAGCTTCAGAAGTGAGCAGCTGGAGCCTTCTTTTGCAGGAGGATGCAAGTTGGGGTTTTCAAATACACCCCACAAAATGCTTTCTTTCCCTCTCAAGCTTGCTATCAGCTGCCTCTTTCCTCCTACGCTCATCTGCAAATCTCATCCCCTTACTACAAAGAAGAGAACAGAAATCAGAGGCTGTATTTTGCCTTCGGCTGGAATGAGAAAGACTCTTTACAGCTGAAACCCGTAATTTTTAATCATTACCATTTGTAATTATTATGGTCACATACTAATGTATCCCTAAACATCCAAATGAAAGAGGAATGATTGGAAAAAGACTGGAAGGCAGATACCACCAGCCTAGTGGGTCAATGAAATCAGCTAGTAATTAAAGTTTCTGAAAGACCTCGTTCTTTCCGATTTCTTTTCAGTAACTTGAACAGACAACACAGAGGGGGTCCTTCCCTTAAATGCAATGATATTTGTCAAATCCATTTGTAAATATTAGTGCAGTTAAAACAACACATAAGATATAAAATGTAATTAAGTTCCGTATAGATTTCACTTTCACGGGAGACTAAGAACAGCAAGGAACAAATGGTGTTATTCTAGCTGTTTCTAGAGCTCATTGGAACCAGTAATGATCTCACAAGCCCAGGACTCATCAGCCACGCAAAAAGCAAAAGCAACAGAAGTGGTACCACCAGAAAAGGAAAAGAAGTGACATAGGCAGCAAGCAATAGAGAAAGATGAAGTTGGAATAGAGAGGTTACTGATTTGCAGGACGTCAAGGAGAGCAATTATTCAGCTGTTGTATTTCTGTGTGCCTCCTAACTACACACGCAACACTGGCTGGCAAAAAAAAAGGCGATTCCAACTCACTGAACACCTCCAACTCTGCTTGGCTTTGGAAAAAGACATCTCTGCAGATGCTGATGGAGGCAGCGCAAGCATAGCCCAGCAGCATGGATGCTGGCCAACAGGTGACCTGGGCACTGCACACAGCTTCTGGCTTCTGCGTATCTCATTCATTAATATACTGATTTACTTGCTGTTTCAGTAATACTGGGCAAGGACAAGCCAGTTTCAGCAAAACAGCTTCCCTGCGAAAAGTAAATAGTTTTGTACAGTTTTCTTTACTGCACCATGATGTGTTGCTACCTTTGAGTAGCTGAAGAAGCAACATTTCCAACAATAACTTCAGTTAAAAAACAAAACTCACCAACCTCCTTTCTCACTGTCTCCCTCAAAACCTTCACTGTGAATATCATAATCTTCTGCTGATTCATTCCCCTCATCACTTGCTGGCTCATCACAGGCTCTGGCACCACTAAGCATTATTTTTTTCCACAGGTGGGACAGGTTATCTGCCCTCACATCGCCCTGCTTCCTCTTCCAGTCTCAAATTTGCAGCTTCTTTTCTCAGAAGCCTGACAGCATCCTTGCTGCCCTCCCCAGTGGGACATTTAACTGGGATGGTTATTTTCTCTTTGCCAGTTAAAATGATTGTTCCTTCTAATATGTCACTCACAGCAACAGTCAGAGGAGCCACGCAAAATGGCTACTATGATAAAAATATCGCCAAGTTAAATAGCTTTGTACACAAAAGAGGTTGGAAAATTGCCTTCTAAAAGCCATTCCCCTCCCAGTACCTGCTGCTGAGCTGCTGCTGTAATTCCAGTAATCCTCAGTAATTCCAGTGAAGGCGAGCCATGTTTACTGAGCCCTACTGCCTAGGCAAATATGACTTCCTGACCAAAGCAAGTCAGCTGGCAGGACTGACCCTCCTGTGTGATGGAACATTGCCAAAGAGGAGCTGGGATAGAACATCCCTGCCTCTGATCAACTCCTGTGTGAGTGAAGCCCTGCTGCACAATGGTTTGCCGGTCAGCTGGGCTGGCTTAACATGTTCTCTTCACTTTGTACCTCTCCTTTTATTTTCTTGATATTTGCAGGACATTATAGAGTGCTCTGAGTCCTTCAGGAGGGGAAGCTAACTAGCAACCTCAAAGAGGAAAAAATAATCAGAGTGTTGAAGTGTTATGTTTTTTCCCCTTCTATCTTAAATTTGATACTTGTCGTTCTGACTTGGTCAGCATAAACTTTATGGCTGAAAGGAAACAACCCGAGCTTGTTTTAAAGATTCCAGGTTGAAATAAATATAATCCAGCAGCTGAAGTACAGACATCACCTGTGAAAAAGCATGAGGGGCAGGGATCATTTTATGAGCACAGAACTACAACATTAATCATGAATGACACAAAGCTCCATGAAAAGAAACTCCAGGAAAGAAACAGTGCATTTCTTCCCATTGTTTCTTGGAGTTTAGGTCACTTTTTAGATGTTCACCTCAAAACATCTCAGACACTTTGTAAGACTGCAGTAAAAGCTGCACAGGAAATAAATCTGATCGCTAACCCATGGAAGGTTTCTTCCCTGACATTTTTCCAACAGAATTAATAGCTGGACACCTAAATGTATATTTAAAAAGCTGCTGCTTAATTGCCTTACTTTCTACTAGATTCAAAATCTCAAACCAGACCAGCAGAACTGAACGGTTTTACTGTTACTCAGAGACAAGTTTTGCATCCAGGCTGAACTTTCCATACGCAGAATCACAGAATTGCAGGGGTTGGAAGGGACCTCCAGAGATCACCGAGTCCAACCCCCCTGCTAAAGCCCACAACACAACCCACAACCTCACAGTATGTCACAGGTTGATGTCCAGATAGGTCTAGAATATCTCCATAGATGGAGACTTCACTACCTCTCTGGGCAGCCTGTTCCAGTGCTCCGTCACCCCTACTGTAAAGATAACAGCTGATGAATCAAAAGAGAGATCTGGTTAAGGCTTTGTTCTCTGGCCTGTTTCATATGGTGCCTGTACAGATACTGCAGCAACAGGTGGCAAGACAAAACCTGAAGTAGGTCATCCCACAGCTCCCTAATACTTTGAGGCAGTTCTGAAAGGCAGCTGCTGATGCCCAGTTCCTTGAATTCCTTCTTGTCTCTAGATGAGACCTGCAGTCTATCAGTGGGAGGAGATTACATTTTCAAATCCATGTTGTATGCATCAGCATGCAGCAAGGGAAAACAACAAATTGTACAGTTAGCGCTGTCTTTAAAACCCAGGCCCCCATCTGGAGACACATCATGGCTCCTAACCAGACGGTGCTGTTCTGGGAGCAGAGCAGAGAGAAGGAAAGGGGCTTAAACAGGAAGAAGAGGGATATAATTGTATCTACCCTCTTCCAGATGCTATGCCAAGCAACATAAATTAAGGTAGAATTTGGCACTGCACTATACAAGCTTAAAGCTCTCCCCTCCTGGCATTTCATAATACATCCTGGATAACCAGCACACAAAGTATGAGAAAGTTCTGTGAGATTACAGCTACCAGGGGATGCAAGCAAGCTTATGGTGCACAAAGCAATAGGGATGTGGGTTCTTTCCTGGGTTTTGATAAAGAAAACAAACAAACAAAAACAAAACAGACCAGAACAACTCAGCTCTGCAGCTGGCCACTGTGCTAGCTCTGGGCCTGCCTGCAGCTGTGCAGTACTATTTCCTGGTCAGGATAATATTTATGCACTCGCAGGAAAAACCTCTACAGTTATTTATACAATGAAACAGGATGTTTTCAGATTAAATTAATGACCTGATCATATAAACAAATGGACACAGCTGAAACAAGGAAGCTCATTCTGGGGGTCTCAGCTCCCGTGCCCTCATTGTTTCCTTAAATAATCCCCGTTATTATTTCTACGCCTGTTGGCAAAGTTGTTTTGTGTATTTCATCTTGTTATTGTTATGAATTCCCTATGAAGGTTTTATCCAAAGCTGTTCCCTGGCCAAAAACAGACAAAAAAAGCTGCTACAATTACAGTACCTCAAATGTTGGCTTCCTTAACATCTTAAAAGCCAGCTAAGGTAATAACCTTTTGAATAAAGCACTTCCTTCAGAGTGATTTTTCAACAGAAATATACTTCTTAGGTAAAAAAATATTTGGATGTAATAGGAAACAAATGTTGGAGCTGATGTCAGATGTTTTCACTTTATTGTTTCATATTTTGGACAACTCAAGAAAACAACTGGATGTAAATATGGGAGGTGTACCTGCAGTACTCAGCAGACAAAATTAAACCCAACATTGGCTTGAGAAGAGGCAGGCAGGTTTGGCGGAGGGGAACGTTGCCCACAGTGGGTGAACTGGCCTCACGAAAGGTAGGAATAGGCCAGGGCAAATTACAAGCTAAGTTCCTAGTCCTTCCAGTTGTATCTTTTCAGTTTCGAGAAAACGCGCATAAGTTCCCTGATGGGTAGTAAAACTTTTCCAGGATCTTTATTGCTCAGAATGAAATCTGGCTGGAATTCCCTGCTCAGTATATCCTTGGCTTCTTTTTCCATTCTGAGACAACTAACTTCTCATGCTCCATATATCAAATGGAGATACTTGCATAGGCTCAAGGGTGCCAAGTCAGATGCCTAATTACTATGTGCCGTAATAAATAACAAAAGGGACCTGGCCTCAAGGTGCCAGTTCCACGCTTAGTATGAAGTGAAGGGATAAGGAAGGCAAAATGAAATACAACACAAGCTCAGGCACAATCCCCAGGCCGAAGCCTGATTGTACATGATGTTTGCTCAAGCATCTGGAATAGCAAACACATACCTAAGAGTACTGCCATTTATCGCAGCAGTCATTTCACACTAGCAGAGCCTCAGACTAACAGACAAGCCTCTCAATCAAAGCTGGCTTCAAATCTCACTTTCCATACGTGATATAACAGGTATCTGCCAGCTCAAAGATGTGACAAATTTGGTTAAAAGTATTCATCTAGAGCAAGAAATACATTCAGCAGAAATTGTTTCTCTTCTGAGCTCAGTCCCTCATCTGTTCATCTGCTAAACTCAGGTCCTCTTTTTTAACCTGCTTCCTTTCTCATGTGTTTGGTGAAAAAAAGCATAGTAAGAAAGGTTTCCCTTTTCCATTCTGGAAGGACTTCCAAAGAACCTGCTTCTCAAGCATTAAGTGCTCTGTCCTGTGGTGTGTTTGTGGCAGCAGGGCTGCCTTCTGAAATGAGCAGTAAGGAAGAGCTGCAGTGTTGCACTCATTATCCATTCATGGATTGCGACAACTGATTGAATAATACTAGTTTCTGTTTCTACAAAGTACATAAAAGCCACCAGGCCATTCCCATGGACATGGTCTCAGGCATGCTTCCCACTGCCCTCTGCCCAGCACAGCTGCCAACTGAGCGCTATGCAGGCAGCAAGCTGAGCACAGGCGAGCTGCAGGGGAGAGGAGCAGTAAGAATAGGGAGCTGTGAGGAAAGGAAAGAGCAGCTAGAGAGGGCAGGAGGCTCCCCTCATCTTGGCGCTTTACAGCAGAGCTGTCTCCAGAGGAGATGAAGCAGAGCCGGGCCCTTTGGGCTGAGGCTGGAGGCTCTTCCCTCCCTGCCCTACACAAGCTGGAAGTGGGGTTCAGCTTCTAGACACCTTTACTTTATCATCTTTCAACAGCAGCCTCCATGGGAACAAATGAGGTGTTTATCTCTTTGTCACCTATAAGTAAACTACCTTAATTTACTTTCCACATGATTACACACGCTTTCCACTTCAAATACAAATGAAATTTAAAAATGAATGATGATAAAAAAACAAACCGACCTGGAACAGACAAACCCTTTTTCCTTCTTGCCTGCTTTTCTGTTGGCATTTTGCACCTTTAAATGCTTTGTCCACAGTGTGCTTTTAAATGTTACAAGCCAGAGCAGGCTTGAAAAACAAGAGAGCTGTGCAGCTGGAATGCTGAAGCATAACTGGCATACCAATAAATGCCTTGATAGCAACTTTCGGTACTGCTGTGCTGCTTTGGTTTGCTTTCACAGGCTTTCTCCCACTGCCTTGCTTTGCAAAAGGCCCTTCAGCCTGGCAGGGGATGAACTCACCGTGGCCCTGCCTTTTACAGAAGAGCAGGCAAAATGGGCAGAGGCTGCGCAAGGCAACCTTGGTCACTGATGTCAGGGATACTCAGCCAGTACTATGGACTGTGGCTGCATCTAATCCTCTTAAAGCAGGGTAAATATCACCTGCCAAATGAGTGCTAAACACTGTTCTCCTGAGGGATCCTACAACCCTTTTCCCTCTTTTTGATGGATCAGAGAAATAGCATCAGAAAGGAAAAAGCAAAGCTGTCATAGCGCTTCTTGATGAAGGTAGAAGGGAAGGGTTATGTCCACACTTCCAAAAGCTGTGCTTTTATGGTACCAGGACAGAAATCTCTGTGAAATATCTTAATTGCACAGACAGTGTTTGATCCTGCAACTCTGCCAGCTCCCATCCAGGTTTTGCTGCGCTTGTCTGAGGTGCTATTTTTGCAATCCAAAGCAGATCTTAGGGGCAAAAGCTTTCCCACTGCACTGTGTCACACAGCTACTGGCAGCACAGAAAATCACGGACATTTTACTGTAAATCTTCTGAAAATTAAAAGCTGCTCCTCCAAGCAATAGCCTGATTTCCACACCATCAATCCCTGCTCACTTATGCCTGTTGCCCCAACGTCATCAGATCAGCCACCGCAGCAGACAGGAGAGGGGACAGTTTCCTGCACAGTGCTGGATTCAGAGAAGTGTTTCATTGAGCAGAACAGTTTGCACTGGTATTTTCAGCTAACTTAT